AGCTGGGGGACAGGGTGATGCCGGGCCACAGTATGACAGATAGGTAGGTAACAAACCCTCTGGGTCTCTGAACCTGCTGCCAGCTTTTGGGGGAAGGATTTCTTGGGCCAGTGAAGACAAGAGGAGAAGGCCAAAGAGGGAGCAGGCAGTGACAGCAGCTAGCTTCACTAGGAGGTGAGCTTCCCCCGTTTCTGGGTGCTGCTCTTTGTCACATGCAGGGTGGTCCTGAGTTGTCCCTAGGGCAGTCAACCAACAATAATTACCCTGAGCTCTTTGCAGCTCTACCTGAGCTGCTGAGGGAGCCTTTCTTTCCCAGGGGAGACCTTGAGGTGCTGTTCTGAAGTGACCCAGAGGCACAGCAGTATGGCCTCTGGACCCCTAAGCCTGGAGGACTGGGTCCCCTCCGTCTTAGGTTTGCCAAGCTCTAGTGAGCACTCACCATACTCCCAGTCAGGCAGAGTGCAGCAGGGTTAAGGGCATGGCCACCACACAAACAACTTCCTGCTACTGTCCCTACAGACAGATGGACTTCCTTCCTGTCCATTTGATTCTCTCTGCTCACTAGAGCATGAACTTTGTGAGGACAGAGACCTCATCTCCATCCCCAGTATCCAGCACACAGTCAATCTTGATTCAAGACAGAAAGCTGGAAATGGAGATGGCCCTGTCCCCATGGAGAATGGGTACCAAAGGCTGTCCCAGGAGGCCCTGCTAATTTTTATTTCCCTCTCTCTGCTCACAAGGTGGCCTTCCTTCCATGGGCCAGCTATAGTCCCTGCAGTTTAATCCTGTGTCTTTCTGTCTGTCCTTCCTGCCTCTTTAAGGAGAGGAGGGAGAGATGCAAGATTCTCCTAATCCCCTTTCCCCTTCCTCTCTGGCTAGGGAAGACTTTGGGGCTCCAGGGATGATCTCAGTACCAGCTGCTTCCAGGAGCAGGAAGCAGAATTGTTTACAGGTCCATAAGGTTCATTAACAAGCCAAGAGGAAGTTCTCAGCTTCCTGGAAGATCTGGGTGCACCCATTTGCTTGGGTTTGGGCTGTGGCTGCCTGAGACTGGGCTCTGAGAAGGGCTGGGAGATAAGAAGTCATGGCACGCAATGGCTTTTTCACTTTCCTTCAAGACATTTGGCTTGAATGACCTCTTACATAAAGCCCCAATATAAGAAAGTGGTAAGAGTAGAACTGCTCTGGATGAATAAAAGCTAGACTCTGCCTTGAAGCCCAGGTAGTGCCTAATGCATCTCCTTGAAACTGTTTTTTAGCTCAATCTTCCATGTGATGATGCGAAACTGAGGGTCCAAGCAGGTGAAGTAACTTGCCTAAGATGCCCCAGTGGCAAGGCTATGAGTCACTCGCAGATGTATTGACTTTCGGCTGGGTTCCTGCCATCTCCTGCTGCTGCCTGAAAGGGAGGCGGGAGCAGGGAGCAGACAGAGCTGTGACCCTGAGCCGCTGGGAATTGGAGCAGAGTGCACAGCTGACTGAACAGCTGGAAGAATCTACTGTTTGGAGGGCACTGGTGGAGGCAGGTGATCAGGCTGGCTGGGGGCAGGCAGGGAAGACAGACAGACCTAAGGGTAGATGGGCAGGTAGACAGACAGCAGCCTGAGTTGGACACCTGCTCCATGGGTGGCTGGATGCCCTCTAGGTTTCAGCAAAAGCGTGCTTGCAATTAACTGGATTAGTTTGGTCCCCAGTGGAGGCTTTGTGCTCACAATCACCTTTAGATAAAAAGATGATATGTTTCCTTTGGAGATACTTAGCTTGAAAGGAGAGAGAGCTTTTGTCTTATTCTTTTCTGTTAATAAAATAGCTCTTATTTTAATAAAGATCCAAGCCCTCCAGCAGACAGTTCAGGGGAAAGAAATATAAAAGATCAATAAACATATGAAAAATTGCCAGGATTATTCATAATTAAAGCAATATGAATTAAAGCAACAATGAGATAGACACAATTTTTCACCCATTATGCCTTTTAAATAGTTGTATAATATTTCTGTTGATCAGTCTGGGAAGAAACACGCACTTTCTTCTTCTAGGTGAGGCCTCACTTTGTGCAGCCTCTTTGGAGTGTCCTTTGACAATATTGGTCCATATAGGTCAAAATCATCAACACACATATACCCTAGAACCCCACAATTTCACTTCTAGGCTAGGCACCTGCTGTGCAAACACATTTACATACGTGTGCAGAGAGATATGTTCAGGAATGCTCCATGCTACATTGTTTATAAAAGTAAAAAAGCTCTAGACACTCAAAATATCCACGAGCAAAGTCAATACAGGAGTAAGGGAGGCAGCTGTGTAGGGAAATACTTTGCTGGATTGAGAAGAAATGAAGTAGATTTGTTCTGACACAGAGAGATCCCCAAGGTATGTGGTTCACTTGAAAAAATAAGTTGCAGAATGGCACACACCTCAGACGCTAGATCTCATTTGTGTAAAACACTGCACACTGCAAACATATAGACACACATACAAGCCAGATGTGTTCTGGACCCTTCCTTCCCCTATAAAGAAGCATCTGTCGAATCTCTGGGTGAGCAGAGCCTTCCGCTGGAGTGTTAGGGCTCAGCAGCCTGTCATGTGCACTTGGCCATGTGCCATCTTCCTGGACCTAGGCACCGCGTAAGATCTGAAAGGTCTCCTCTGTATCCCAGGAGCTCTAGTCCTGTGGGACCCTGAGGTTAGCACCCAGACTGTGGGGTGGGGGACTTTTCAGAATGGTTGGAGTGCGAATTTAGGGCCATTTCAAAAGGAGATTACCATGTAGATTATAATTATGAAATTACAATTAGCTAACATGCTAAGAGACAAGTTCAAAGGCACACAGCAAACTCTCTCTCACCTCCAAGTTGTCCTTGGTACTCAATCCAAGAAAGGCAGGCATGCTAAGGTGGTGAGGTGTTGGGGTTTCTGAGTGGCATTGGGGGTTCAGGGATTGGGAAGGAAGTCTCCCACCCTTTTTGCTTGGCTTTAGGTGGTGGATTTCTATGCCACCAGGGGGCAGTGCCTCCACATGAGCCTGTGCCCTGTTCCCCTGTGCCCCTGTGCCCAAGAAGCCTCACCAGGCCGAGGCCAGTTGGTAGCTAGACAGAAATCTGGCCTCCATAGCCCAAGGCCCTGTCGCAAGCCAGCGCCCACACTTCTCTAGCTTTGCTGACTTCTCAGTACTCCTCACCATCCAGCCACCCTGTAGGGAGGGGATTGTTAGCCCCATTGTCCATGGGGGAGACTGAGGCCCAAAGAAGGGAGATACTTGCAAAAGGTAAAATCTTGAGGTGATAGAATTGTCAGATAGACTACAGGATATGCAGCTAAATTTTAATGTCAGATCAACCCATGAATCATTTTTTAGTGTAAATATGTCCCAAAGGTTAGTGTACAAGAGAGCATACTTACACTAAAAATGATGTGTTTTTTACCTGAAATTTAAATGTACTTGGTATCTGTACTTTCATTTGCTCAATATGGCAACCGTGACTGGGCTTCCCAGGCTCCTGAATCCCACTGAGCTGAGCACTCTCTGCAGTTTCTCTGCTTCCAAGGTGGCACTCCAGAAAGCTCAAATTTCATTGCAGCTGCTCCACCGGAGCTGGGAAGGGCTTCTTTGGGGCCCCCAGGAATGCAGGAAGGGACTACATCAGCTCTGCTTCCCAAGAGCTCAGCCCCAGCACTGGACAGGTGAGATGGGGGCAGGGGACAGTCAGTCTCAGACCATGCAGCCCTATCTCAGCTAGTCCTGGCCCCTTCCTTTCTGCTCCCCTCCCTCCCTCCCTTCCTTCCTATCTCCCTTCCTCCTTTCCTCCCTCCCTCTTTCCTCCTCTCTTCGTCCCACTTGGCCCAGGAACTCTGGGGGAAGAGGAGGCTATTTGTAAAAGGAACCTTTTACAAACCTGTCCTGGTTCCTTTTACAAATAGCCTCCTATTCCCCCAGGGGCTCAGGGGCTGTTTCCTAGAATGAAGGGTTCACCATTGGTAGCTGTAGCAATCAGGGTTTTCCAGAGAAACAGGACTGATAGGATGTATGTATGTATGTGCATATGTATCTGCATATGCACAAATATATAGAAATTTATTTTAAGAAATTGGCTTATGCGATTGTGGGGCTCACAAGTCTGAAATGTACACCACAGGCCGGCAGGCTGGAGACTCAGGCAAGAGTTGACACTGCAGTCTTGGGGTTGAATTGCCGCTTCTCTGGGAAACATCAGTCTTTGCTCTTTAGGCCTCTCAGTTGATTGTGTGAGACCCACCCACATCATCGAGGATGAGTCTCTGCTTTATTTCAAGTCCACTGGTTGTAGATGCCAATCACGGCTACAAAATGCCTCATCAGCAACACCTAGACGGTGTTTGATGGAATCACCAAGGAGTAGTGCCTGGCCCAGGTGACTCATAAACCTGACCATCACAGTGGTCTAGTCAGTAGGGAAGATGAGGGAGAATTGGAACTTAGAAGGTGCAGGGCCTGAGGCTCCTGGGGGGTCTAGTGGCTGCAGTCAGGTCCCACCTTTCTTACCCTTCCCTCCTTTGGTTCTCATGGCTCCTGCCTAGGCTGACCTACTTCAGAAAAAGGCTACCTCCTGTGTTTGGGAACTCTGGGTATGGGAGGTAGAATATGCTCTCCAGAGAATCCCTTTTGAAGGCATTGTATGGCCTGGATTGCTGGGACCTAACTCTGCTGTGGTCACTGCCTGGCTCTTGGACCCTGTGCCAATCCTTGCCTCTGCCTAGAAATGATGGTGGGATCCCCCATGAGCTAAATCTGGAGATCCATGAGCCAGAGCAGTTCTCACAGGCAAAGGCTTGGAGTTGTATCTCTTTTCCTAAGTTGCTTACAGAGTAGCAGGGGAGAACGCCATGGACGCAGCCAATTAGATACAATGGGAACAGAAGGTACTGAGTCCAAGGCCTCAGCCTAGAGAGGGAGTGTCGCTCCACCCCCAGGTCCTACTATATCTTCCTTGAGCTTCTGTCCCTGGAAGAGGTGATTTTCTGAGTGTGACTTCTCTGTTTCTGGCACCCTGCACATTTTTAGCCATTGCTTACAAGTAAACAGCTGGTTGTGATGGCAGGAGGCCCTACCAGCACCAGGGAGGAGATGGAAATGTCCCTGGTTGAAGAACTGAATCATGGAAGCCAAGGGCAAAACCAAGATCATCTGGTGATAGCAGGTGAGGATCCCCTAAAATGCCCCTTGGCTACAGCCAACTGTGTAGATACGTGTCTATACCTGTGCATGTATGTGTTGGAAAAGATGCATGTGTGCAAGGAAGTGTTTGCACATGTGTGTGTTGGGGGGTTTCGAGGATTTGTGGGTTGCTGATAAGGGAGGTAGGGGAAAAGGGAGCCTTTTTCCCACTGTCTCCCCCTTGTCCAAGCCACCACATTGTCTGTTGCAAAATACTCAGAGAGCTCAAATTACAAGACCTGAGATCAATTCTCTCTCCCAATGCTCTAATTCATTTCCCTGCCCTTTGGAGGAAAGTCCAAACTCCATAATCTATAAGATAGTATCAGCCTCCTCAAAACATTTCATGCTATGATATAGACAGAAAATATCATTTCTATAGCTCACAAAAGGGCCAAGATCACACTGCATTTATGTTAGTTATTACAATGCTCCAAGCCTGCTTCTTCCCCAAAGGCCTTGCATTTGCTGTTTCTTCTGTCTGGAAAGTGCTTTCCCTCAATTTCCCAGGGCTGGGTCCTTTATTTCTTTCAGGTCCCGGCCTCAATTGTTGTCTCCTGCTTTTTAGAGGGAGCCCTTTCCTTCTACTATCTTACCATGTTTTGATCGTTTATGGAGCCTGTATCTCTCTGTCTGCATTTGCGAGGATAGATTACTTTCTGCTTTACACCTGTCATTCCCCCTTATACACAAACAGATGGTCAGTTCTTTGAGAGCTGGAATCTTGTTCTTGATCATTGCTTTCTAAGTGACTAGAGAGTAACCTAGTCTCGAGCTCAGCCCTCAGGAAATGCTTGATTAACTTTTGAACAGATGAACACACTGAGACCTGGGATCAGCTGGTGGATAGTGTTGGATGAGTGTTGAGTGATTCCCAAGAAGGCTGGGGACTCTATCTTCTTTTTTGGTGTGTTTTGTGTCCAAGAAGCCTTGGTATAACTTCTATGGGTGCTCCTGGGGCCTCTGTTCTTCTCTCTAGAAGTGATGGAGCATGGATCTCGGTCCCTGGGTGTCCCCCAGAAGAGGCAGAAGTTGGAACCAAAAGCTACTGGCTCTGCTGCAGGCAAACCAGTTTGGAATATGACTGGCACTCGGCCCAAGAAAATGGTACTGTATGGGGTCCTCAGCATATGGTGGCCAGGTTGGGGTTGGGAGTACTGTTTGTAGGGGCTGTAATCTCACCAGGTCAGTCAGGGCTAGACATTGACTTGGGAGGAGGAGGAAGTTCCTGTGTTCCAAGCTGGCAAATGAGGAAAGGAAGGTCCAGTTAAAGGTTATGGTCATCCTTTCCTCTACTAGAGGTTCAACCTTGGGAGTTCGGAATTCCTGAAACGAATATTGCTTGGGGAGTACATAAATACTTTATAAATCTATTGTGTGAAATAATGCTTTCATGTATTTAAAATTATGTGTGTGGTACACGTGTGTGTATACACACAATAAGTCAGGTGAGGTTCCTATGCTTTCTGGCTGTTAAGAAATCCAGTCAAGTGGCCTGCATGGTGGCTCATGCCTGTAATCCCAGCACTCTGAGAGGAGGAGGTGGGCAGATCACTTGAGGCCAGGAGTTCGAGACCAGTCTGGCCAGTATGGTGAAACCCCATCTCTATTGAAAATACAAAAATTAGCTGGGCATGGTGGCACATGCCTATAATCCCAGCTACTCAGGAGGCTGAGGCATGAGAATCACTTGAACCCAGGAGGCAGAGGTTGCAGTGAGCCAAGATCACGCCACTGCACTCCAGTCTGGTCAACAGAGCGAGACTCTGTCAAAAGAAAGAGAGAGAGAAAGAGAGAGAGAAAGAAGAGAAAGAGAGAGAGAAAGAAGAGAGAGAGAGAGAGAGAGAGAGAGAGAGAGAGAGAGAGAGGGAGAGAGAGAAAGGAGAGAAAGGAAAGAAGGAAGGAAGAAAGAAAGGAAGAAATCCAGTGAAGTGAATCTGACCATTTTGTAGCCAATGCTTTTAAGCTACATTCAATATGGGTGAAGAAATATTCTAGAACAAATAGTGACTATACTGCTGCAAATGATATTGAGAAAGCAGTCATTTTGGAGGGAGAGGGAATCCTGACTCTTCTGGAGAATTAGGTGAGTCCCACAGTTCTGTAGCCAATCCTTTTAGCTAGCTACATTCACTGTGGGTAAGGGAAAGTTTTAGAAAAATTGTTATGCTGTTGCAAAGGCTGCTGGGAAAAGGCAACAGGGTTGGAGAGGGAGGGAGGACTGACTGCTCCAGGAAATCATGTGAGTCCCACGGCTCTGTGGCCGATTCTTTAAGCTACATTCACTGTGGATGTTGAATGTTCTAGAAGGATGCTGGCCACATTATTGCAAAGGATACTGAAAAAGGCATTTATTTTGGAGAGAAGGGAGACCTGACTGTTTTAGGGAATCACGAATCCCATCATTCTGTAGCCAATGCTTTTCACCACATTCAGGTGGATGAGGGAAAATTAAGACAATTTTAGAAAATGGTGGTTTTTAGTGTTACCACAGTAAAGTTTGGAAGTTACTGGGAAAGGGCAATAAGGTTGGAGAGGGAGGGAGACTTGATTGCTGAAATGATTTGTTGGATGGCCCCAGGGAAGATTGAGAAAAAAAGCTTCCAGGTTTACAGATATCCTGGGAATAAAAATAAGTCAGACGTTGAGTTGGCTTCCTGTATCCAAAGACAGAAGCCAAATCAAGTTGCTCCAGGAGGTCAGGCTCCTGCAAGCTACTCATGTCTGAGGCTAGGGGGGATATCATCTCTGGTTTAATTAAAGCTGGTTATGAGGGCTAGAGGTAGACTGTTTGAAAATATACGCTTATATTGAATTTAGAAATTCAATTTAGAAATTTAGAATTAGGAAATGTAATTAATTAATTCTATTTATTTATTTATTCCTTTATTTTTGAATAAAACAGTTAATGGAACTGCCTCTAGGAGAACCATAATATGCAAAGGCGAGAAAAGTTAAAAATGCTACACACGAAAAAAGTAGTGTGCCTTTAAAGTTACATGGAAATAAAAGTAACATTTATTGAAATGATTAACAGAGAGAAACAAACAAACAAAATCCAGCCATCCTTATTTTTATTTTTTGCCTTCAAATCTCTCAAATATATTTTTTTATCCTTCTGATTCCAATTTATAGGAAAGTCCAGTGATTATAGTCATGGGGTCTCCATAATACCCATTATATTTTTGATGTTATTTTTGATGTGTCTTAAGAAAATAAAATATTGTGATGGTGAACTACTCTTCATAAAAAAGTTCCACCAATATCTGTGTGCTCCTCTGGAGAAAGACTAATTTTGCGTTACTGCAACAGACAGAGTGTAGTGGCAAAGTTCCTATGAAAATCCTTTACACAGAAATTGATCCGCCTTCAGTTTGATGTTGTTACTTCAGAACAGAGAAGGGCTGCAGATCTTTCTCAGTGACCGGTGAGCCTTGGTTGTCTATTTTTTTTGGAAGAATGAAGCAAATGGAAGGGCTAACCCAGGACTCTGTGTGCCTCAGTCAGGCCTCTCAAAGGGCAGGTTCCACTTCAGCAGGATGAGTGGGTAAGGAACTGGCTGTCATGTGGGGCACCCTGAACCCTGCCAGAATGAAGAGGGTTTTATTTTGTGTCACTTTCACCCCACTTTTCTCATTCATTTGGTTCAGGTTTTGGCATGGCCAAAAACCAGCAGTGCCTGGCTGCCAGCCAGAGGTAAGAAGTATGGATGACTGCTTCATACACAGATCTTTAGTTAAAATCCCTGTTTTCTGCCCTTCCCTCCTTTCTTGTGATATGCTGCCATTGTCCTTGCAGGTCTAGTTCCTCTCTGGATGCTGCTGGCTGGGGTTCCCCTTGTCAGCTGAGCCCCATCTACTTCCCATCCACACTGAGGCCTGATTTCTCCATGGACACTTCCGGGATTCCACAATTTTATGGAATTCTTTCATTGGCTAAGGCCTCTCATGTTGTCTTCTTCTTTCTTATAGATATATACTGTTTTACTGTCTTCACTGGCACTTAATGTAGCCTTAACAGGAAGGAGTGTTACATATAAGAGACATCGTACTGTGATAGTTAAGAGTATAACCTCTGGACTAAAATGTCCTGGATTCAAATTACTGCTCCGCTACTTACTAGCTGTGAGTCTTGGACAACTTAATTAATCTCTCTGTGTTTCATTTTCACCTACTTTCAAAATGGGATGATAATGATAACATTTCACAGGGTTGTGATGAGGAATCAATCACTTGTATTGGTAAGGACTTAGAGGATGGCACGCTCCCTGGCATGTGGTGTATGTTAAATAGGCAGCTTCTGAAATATTTCATCTTGAACTGGAAACCTAGGAGTATGACTTGAGCCCAGGCAGGTCTGGCACCGAAAGCCACTCTCTGTTCCTCTATCCCCTGCTGACTTTTCAAAGGCATCAGATAGCCCTGGCCCAAGGCCTCTGGGCCATAGATGTACAAGCTAGGGTGTTATTGGCAGATGGATAAAAATGAAAGCCACAAGGATGGCTGGGTTTGCCCAGAGCAGTTGATGGTTTCCCAGTAGCCGGGGCTCTAGCCTTAGCCCTGACATCCTCGGGAAGTAAAGGCATCTCGCCAGGCCTCAATGGCCTGGGCTGCCAATTGAGGTTTTACGTTCTCCTTCAGTAGGTTTCTCAGCCTCTCGGCTAATGTCTGCATGTGAAAGTTCTTGCAGAGGACAGGGACCCCTGTTACTGCTCTTCTTTTGCCGCAGCTTGCCTGGGTGAGCAACAGCTACCGAGGACCATGGTGCAGGTGGGATGGGAGCCAGCAGCCAATGTGTGGGGTTCCCAAGCTTTCCTAATGTCTTGAAGCTGCCAGCCCTTGTTTCCAGAGGTCAGGCACCACATGACTCCCCATGGGATGCACCACTGGTTCTGGGCAAACTGGAGAAGCCACTCATGTGGGGCTGGGCAGGCTACCTTACTGATCCTTCCTTTCTTCAGGGGACCCAGCTGCCAATGCCCAGAATGCTGAGAGAATCAGGCCATGGGGACACCCATTTCCAGGAGTGCCCTGGTAGTTTCCAAGGCATACGATTCCATCATGATCGGTAAGAGCTGGGGATCTGTGGGGCCTGGCTACTCAGACAGGTCCCCGAATGGGGCAGAAAGGCTGGTGAGCAGCCTGGCCAGGAAGGAGTTCTGAGGGCCTGGAGTGGCTCCTTGCCAGAGACCTTGAGCACCCTGGCTCCAAGCCCATTTGGGGCATCCCAGTACTCTGCAGCCAAGCTGAGCTGGGCTGAGCTGGGCTGAGTCAGGCTGGCTCAGGCTAGTTCAGGGTGACTCCCAGCCCTCAAGGCCATAGGCCCCCTTTACCATGGAAGAGGACTGGAGGCTGATAGGGTATTTGTCCAAAAGATCCTGATATTACCTGCTTGCCCTCACTGTCTTCTTGTGCTCCTTGCCAGGCCTTGCCAGGGACCACCAGCAGCTCTGACCCTCTGTCTTTTTTCTCTCTCAGTAACCCAGAGACAGGTTCAGTGGTGGACACTGGCCTGGAAGAGTTCAATGGACTGGAGATGGAAATCATCAAAAGACAGGTGAGGAGGGAACCAATTGGTGGGTGCAGGGAGAATCATGGTGCCTTGAAGTTGGCAGGGCTTGACAGCTGGGGTCCTGTGGTCCCTTATAGCCATCTTTCCCTTTAGCACTGGAGGTGGGGCAGGTTCCCTTCCTCTTTCTCCCCAGCTCCATGGCTCTGACACCCCACGTAAATGTCCAATCTCAAACCTACTGCTGTCCCTGAGATGCCGGCAGAGAGTAGGGGCAGAGGAAAGGTGGAGGAAGAGGGAGCATACAAGGATAAGGGTTATATGTCCAGGGACAGAGTGGTGCCCAAGGGTCTGAGAGAGGGGTCGCCTTTGTTCAAACAAAACCCAGACCTTCTTAGGAGGAGACCCTTCCTTCTTTGGCTCCCTGGCTGGAATGGGCCGCCTCTTTGAGAGAATGGAAGTGAACATCAGGGAGAAGGCAAAAGTGGTGCCTGCTGATGCAGCAGGCCAGATCTTGCGTCCCGTGGGCCAGGCCCAGGCCCCTGCTTCTTACTAGGGGTGCTCCCTGCCCCGCCGCCAAAGGGCAGCCAAGCCCCTTCTTGCTCTAACTTTATGCTTTTCCTGTGGCTGTGCTATGGGCTTTGGGAGAAGAGCCTTGCTCAGCAGCCCTGCCGTTGGCTCTTCTGCAGCTGTGTGCAGTCAGTGGGCGTCTGCGTGCCCTGGAGGAGCAGGACGCCACCTGGCGTCAGAGGGAGACCCTGATCTTCGCCTTGCTGGTGTCAGCCAGCATTGCCAACCTGTGGCTGTGGATGCACCAGTGATCGCAGCAAGCTAGGCCTACGCATTGGAGCCCTCCCTGCTTCTCCTTCTTTCTTTCCTCTTCCCTGGCTGCCCTTGCCCATCCCCCAGGCAGCATCAGGGCCATTTTTCAAGTCTGGTTAGGCCCCCTGCCTGGGGAGGCCAGGTCACAGCTTTGGGAGGTCCTGGCTGCTGCAAAGTGGAGGAGGACTGCGTGAGCTGAGATGACACCCTTTGAAGGATGAAAAGCATGGAGGCATCTGGGCCCCATAGTAACACCTGACCCCAGCGGCCCTCTGTTCCATCCTCTGTGGGCAGGGGCGTGGCTTCGCTTTCCTCCCTTGTTTGCTTCCACCTTGCGCACGAGGCTCTGCACAGACAGCATGCTCAATAAAAGTTCAGCTGTAGCAGCAAAACCCTGTGGCTGAGGTTTCTGTGTCCAGTCCTCATCTGGGGCAACAGTGGGGGCAGAGTGCTCTGGGGAACAGCTACTCTTCACAAAGACCCTGTGACTGGGACTGAGCCTTTGCAGTTGCCCCAGGGGCCCTGGTTCCCTCCTCCCTTTCACCTCTCTAGCCTCACTGTCCCTAGGCCCAGCTTTGCAAAATTCTTCCTGTTGGGCGCATGCCAATGAGTACTTATGGGGGTGTGGTTCTGGGAGCATGTCTGGGTTGTGTTGCGGGGATGCAACCAGAGGAACTCTCCCGAAAGGGACCAGAAACCTTCTCATTTGCCCAGGATGAAATTGAAATCCAGAGAGGGGAAACACGTCCCTGGGTCATCCAGTGAGACAGGGCCTGGGTGTGAGTTCTCCTGAGTCCTACGCTAGGGCTTGGCCGGCCTCCTGCAGACAGACTCACTGAAGATGAATTCCTGCCTCAGCTTTGGAGTTTGAATGGGAGGTACACATACCCACCACCCTATCCACCACACACGCTGGGTCCACAGTCATTGAAGCTCACCTCAGGCAGGGTGGATAGCTGAGTCGTCCAGTGGGACTGAGCCTGAGAGGTGCAGAGTGTTGCCTGCCGTGTGGGGGCCTGACCACAGTGCACATGTGCTTGGCAGCAGGAGGTCTGCGGAACAGCTGCAATCCCTTTCCTGGGACCAAGGGACCGACACACATGTCTCTGGGGGCAGGGACCCAGAACTTTCTCATTGGCTTTAGTTGCTAAGTGCACCTTCCCTAATCCCCCAAATCTGTCAAGAATTCTCCATCTATAAAGATGGGGGAGTGTCTTAATCACTAGGTATGAAATGAACGTGTGTGTGTGTGTGTGTGTGTGTGTGTGTGAAATAGAGAAGAGACAGAGAGAGAAGCGGGGTGGGGAGAGAAGAAAGGAGGGAGGAAAGGGGAGGCAGAGAGAGAGAGACAGTCAGAGAGACACAGAGCAGCAGAGGGAGGGAAGTTAGGGGATGGGGAGAGGGAGAGGGAGAAGCTTGGGTCCCACAGCCTGCTCTGCCCCTGCTCCACCTCTTTCTCTGGTTTTCAGTGGGCTCCTATACACTGAGGGGATTCTTCCATGCCTGACACTCTGGGACTTGTAATACTTCTAAGATGAGGATGCAGGGCCTCCTGCCAGCCCTGTGGGACACCAGGCACGTGGCCCCTGGAGCCTGGGCCTTGCTCAAAGCAGAGAAAGAACACCTAGGAAAGAAACAGTTTGGAGATTCCTTGCAGGCAAACCTTCCCCTTCCTGCAGCATCAAGACAGACCAGGGCCCAAGATGCAGAGGAGTATTAAGGGAAGCAGGGAGACAGAGCAAGGACAGCACATGCAACTTCTTGCCGTCAGCCCAGTGTTCCCACTGCCACGAGGCCAGCCCTCACACTTTCTACCCCGGGGTGCCCCTTTCTCCTACCCAGTCAAGCTTCACAGGGAAGCTCAGAGGAAGAGGAGGCTGCAGCCAGGTGTGGCTGGGTCTGCCCTTAAGACCTGAGTGTTCGTGAGCCTGTGCATACATGGACATGTTTGCCGAAAAAGTCTGGCTGAAAATATGTTGTGAAACAAAGGTTCACCCTTGGGAGCAAATTAGCTGAGTTGCAAACAAACAGCATGGCAGTGCCCCAGAGGAACATCTCCGGAGCCAGGTGAGCTCATAGGGAACCCCTGGCTGGGCCTCCACCCTGCCTTGCTGTGTGACCACTTGGCTGGTTCCCAGCAGGGCTGGTGCCAGTTCCTAGCTGTGCATTCCTGCTCTATCTCTAGAACTCCCTGCCCCACCTAGAAGACTTCAGGAAGTGCCTGAGAGGAACTGGAGTCGGAGCTGCCCAGGCTGGGTCCCTCTGTAATGTTCCTTAGGGGGTATGGGGACCATATTGTGGTGGGTGGCACATCTGTGATTCCCAAGCCCCTGGGAGAGATCCAGGGAGGCTCAGGGGGCAGAGTGCCAGGAGGTAAGTTGGCACCTCCTGCCTGGCCCTCTGGCTCTGACCCACCTGGAGCATTTGCCCATCTGATTGCATTTCTCTGCCAAGCTGTCCCTGCCTTGCCCAAGCACTCCACCCTTCCCCCAGCCCTTCCCCCAGCAAACCATGAACTTCCCCATGGAGAAACAGGATGCTGTGGGTAAATGAAGGAGAGAAAGAACTCATTCTTACTTGGAGGTTGGGGAGGGAATTCTCCTGGCATGAGGATTATCTCTAGTCTGTGAAGCTTCCCAGGGGCTGCCTAGGCTTACTATTAGAGGGGTACACAGTCAGTCCTCCACTGGATCAGTAGCTTCTTGAGTGCACAATGTAGTCTGCATTGTCTTCTGGCACAAGTAAAGGACTGACAGAATGGTCTCTGATTAGGGTTCCCAAAGAGTGATTCTAGCCCTGGCCTTTCCCTTCTGGCCTTTAGGGTGTGCCTTCTGTTGCAAACCCTTCCCCACCAAAGGCAGTCAATTCTATTCATTGCTTCCTATGGCACACCTACTCTGTGTCATACACATTGCATCTTAAAAATATTTAATTACACAATTTGTGCATGAACACATTCTACCCAAAAAGACAAACATTGCAAGCATAGCTAACAGTCCCTTGCACCCCAAATGCCGGTGACTCCATAGAGATATTTCGCGTGGTTTGGTTGGTGTGTATCCTCTCAGACTCTCTATGCTGTTCCATGCAGATTATGTGCGCCTATATGTACCCCAGGCTTCGCATGCAAGATGTAATTTAACCCTCCACAAGCAACCCCCTGAGGGAGTAGCTTGTCTTTCCAGCTGGCTGTACAGGTGGGCAAAGCTTCAATCCTCCATTTATGTAGTTCCCTGCCCTGCCAAGTGGGCTTCTGGTCCCCTGCCAGTCCTGGGCAAAAGCTGAAACTCAATATTCCAGTTCTTTTGTTACAGGCTGGCTTCTGGCAGCTGGGAGAAGGTGGGAAGAGGAAGGTGGGCATGTGAGGAGGGGAACATGAGGGTGCATGAAGGGGACTCTGGTGTACCCGGCAGCAGTTTGAAATCCTGACTTATTGGAAAGGAGCCCAAAGCTCATCACCCCAAGGGTCTTGCCTTGTTTCCCTTCCCTAACCCCAGCCCTTCGTGGATTATCCCCCTCAGGCCAGCCTTACCCCTAGTACCTCTTCTCTGAGATCTCTGCCTGGCTTGACCTTTGGTCAGGTGGACTAGCTGGGATCGTGCCAAGGCCTGGAGGCAAGTACACTGGGACTGTGAGCTGGTGGGGTTGAGTACCCAGACACAAAGCTCTGAGCATGCTCCGTGCAAGGGAGGGCTCCTCAGGGAGCTTGGGAGGGGCTGGCTCCTGGATCTGGGCAGGCAAGCAGCTTACACAGCCAGGCAGCCCAGCATCCAGCTGTCGCCTGCCAATAGCCTGGGGTGTACAGGGCCCACAGACAGGCCAGTTTCTCCAGTGGGCAGGTGACACCCTGGGCCAGCGTCTTGCGTTTGCCTTAGCCGTGGGCATGAGGTCTTCTCAGTCTCTGCCAGCTTCCCCTGCTGGCCTCAGGCAGGGTGGATCAGCTCCCTGACCTGGAGGCTGCAGCTGAGTTGTTAGGGGGTCAAGGGCCCCGCTGGCCTGAGGGGCAGGACCGGCAGGTGATCTCTGCTGGCTCCAGATGCTGATGAGCCCCAATAGTTTGTCCCTGGAGGTTGTACAAAAGGACCAACAGATGCTGACTGTGGCCAGGAGAGCCCCTGCCTCTGAAGCCGTCTGATTGGTGAGGAAAGGGGCTGACCTTGGGCTGATAACTTTCTGTGACCACGGGCCAGTTGCCTCCACGGGGTGCAGAGCTGGAGTCTGTGAAAAGTGTGTGGGCCCTACCACCTGGCTTCACATTGTCTTCATGTGCATGGGCTGCCAAGGGAGCTGAGGAAGCTGGCCATGTTGGGAAACTTTGCGCCCTGTTAAAGTAGCCAAATAAATTACTTGGGGCTCTAGGAGGGTGGAGGCACTGAGTGCCGCACAAGGCTCGTCCTGAGGCACCTAGGACTTTGTCCTTTCCTAGGAGAGTGCCAGGGAGGGTTGCTGGAGAAGACTTGGAGCAGAGGGGCTGAGGGCCTGCCCGACAGGCAAGCTTCAGTAGGAGGGAGCGGAAACCCATGGGCCTTCACTGCTGGCCTGACTCTGAGTCTTTCTGGGCACCCCAGCCTCAGAGCATGGGCAGTGTTCACCTGGAGCCTGTGGCTCTGTGAATATGACAAGCAGTGGAGGTAGGGGTGTGGGTTTTGTGGGCTTCTCCCAGGAACCATGCTGGGATTGCAGCCTTTGCTTTTGGCCTTTTGAGCTGCACCCTGACCTCTTCCGGAGATCCTTAGAGGGGAGCACCCACCCCAGGCCTCTGGGGCTTGGGAGCCAGCCACTCTGGCATTTTGGGGCAATGCATGTGGGCCTTGGAGCTTCTGGCTGAGGGAAGATTCTGGATCCAGGCAGCAGGCCTGGTGCAGAGACAAGCTTTCAGGGCTGCTGCAGGCCTGGCACCCCATTTGGGCCCTCCGGCTGTTCTTGCGTCCATCTCAGCTTGAGTCCAGAATGGCAAGTGTAGGCTGTGTCCATGTGAGACTGTGGTCATAGGAGGCAGCTTCATCTCTAGACATCCTGCCAGTAGCTGGGTCCCTGGGCCCCTCTTTCTGCATAGCTGGGCCCCCTCCAACTGCTCCTTGGCACCACTCAGCGCCACCTTCTCCAGAGGGAGGGACACTAGTGCTTGGACTGGACACAAGCATGTGGCAGATAGAATGTGTACCTGGCTGGTCCTCAGGTGTCATGGTGGCCACAAAACTACCAAGATCAGCCGTGGCCCCACCCCACTAAGCTCCAACACAAAATGGCCCCATAGGAGATGAGGCTGCAGAGTTGATTCTAGTGAGATCCTGAAGGAGTTTGAAAGTCCAAGTACAGAGTTTGGAATGTATTATTTAGATGATCCCTTCATCCATCCAACAAATACTTGACATGATCCCTAATCCTGGGA